TACAGCATACTTATATAATATTTACAGTATTAATATTTCAATTAGGTATAAAATATATTATTTTTTTTATTTATTTGTTTTTGAATTCACTAAGAAACAAGTTACAGTATTATAATTTATTTACTAAAGCCTATATCAAAATTTTTGTAGAAGGCTGTTTCGTTTTTCTTTTGTTGACATAAAGTATAGTCCAGTAGTTTGGTAAAAAGTAACAAGTATATTGATTGCATAACTACATTTAAGGAAATTACATATAAACTCAAAAAGATATATTTATATATTTTTTTAATTAACCACCATTAGGTTGATTAATTTGAGTYGGATCTTCAAATACAGGTGGTTGAGGTCTAAACTGTTCTGCTGACATGTGCATAAAAAATAATCCAAACCCTTCAATCATTGCCAATAGTAAACCTCCAAAAACAGCGCTGGCCGTCATGGCTGGTATTCCATTTCGTGCTGCTAATATTCCACCGGTCAAAGCACCACTGGCTATAGAATTCCACGGGTCTTCTTTTTTTCTAATGGCAACTAATGAACAATCAATGGTTGAAAATAATCCTCCCCATATGGCAAAACTACCACCTATGTTGGGAGCTTTGGTTGCTACAGAATGAAAAGCCCCCTAGAAAATACACAAATATGTACAATTAATAAATATAATTAAATTCATAAAAATAAAAATAATATAAAACAAATTGGCTTATTAATAATAATTAGTCAATATACAAATTGAATATCAAACATTTTTATTAAAAAGATTAAGTTTGACACTTGAATTTTATACTAGACACTAGATGTTTAAATAGTTAGAAAAATAGTGTAGATACAGTTCTACTTTTACATCAAAGAAACATTTAAAAATACATAAATTTTAAGCTTTGAGATTGATTTTTGGAAGTAAATTARATTTAGTAGGTACTTTGAAAAATCAAAAATCAACATTTATAGTGATTGTGAAAATTTTTTAAAAATAATTAGGAAAAAGGAATATTTAAGCAAACATAACATTAATTTTATTATTACTTATTTCTTTGTTACAATTAAAAAATAACAACAACAGTGAGGCTCTTTTTGAACTATTTAATTTTTTTTAATGCTGATAAAAATATTTATG